AAAAAAAGTACAGTGGATCATTTTCATTACCTCACTCACTCGTCATCTAATTGCTGCCTCGAGACACTTGATGACCTTCTCTTTCTCTGCTTCCGTCTCTAAAGTGCACTCGTCCATGTGACGTATGAAATATTCTTAAGAAATTTGAAAACCACCCCAAATCACATTAAACAACCACTACATTGCAAATATTATGCAAGCAATCAAGAAAGCTCTAATCTTCTTTGCAATGTTTTCTTAGCTAGTCTGGGCCATTTGCATAAGTTAGATAAAGTTCATCCGGCCATTCCTGAACCACAAATGCGAATTAATAATGAGATCACCTTCATTAGCATCTTCATCATTTCAAGTATATGAAATAAGTATATAATATCAACTTCAATGGTGTATATTTCCTACCGTAAAAAGTCTAATGCATGAACCTTGCAAGAACATATAGTCATATTCATATAGATATATACTAAAAAAAACATCTTCGCATTTACTACCGAGCCAACTTCTGTCGGAGTTAATTTCATTGAATGCATGATAAGGAAGTTGTATTTTCTTGGTGTAATTTTTTTCTTTCCCATTCTTTGTTATATCTTAAGGTTTCGCAATTATCTCAATGAAATAAATCAAAAACTCGAAAGAAAGAGAAAGTCTAGAATAGTACCTCTTTTGTGACTGCCCATTTACCACTACGTAGCCTTATGATTGTAGTTCATATTACCGATATATAAGATCTTCTCTTCTTTTTTCTTAATTTCTTTAATAGTTGCAGCTATTCTAATAAATGTGTCTTCATCCGCTTTCATAATGTAATTCGATGATACTGTCTGAATCTGGAATAAGTACAAACAATATAAGTTCAAGTAAAAACAGAAGGAAAGATAAAAGTGTACTAAAATATGAAGGGATAACTACCCCTTAAAGTTCAGTATAATCACAAATGCCCTTCCGCTTTTGTATCTTTTTTTTCGCACAATTTAAGAATAAAGTTTTCAAAAAAAAAAAAATACTAACCCCGAATTCACAGAGCGCGAGGGTTTATAAAACGACAAGGTCATAATGGTCCAGATAGGGAACCACCACAATGTCTCCAAAAAACTCAGCTTCTTTCCTTACCTCAAAATTCACCTCTTTCTTCCGGTGCTGCCAAAAAAGAAATCATATTCCAACAACCATTCATCAGAAGCTAATTACATAGTAATTTGGATTCAAACAAAAACTCTTTACCTAAAAGCAAACACTTACCAGAGCCACGAAAAAACGAGCAACGACTTTTGACGACTGAACCAGCTCGTGATGCATCCACGATTTCCTCACAGCCATTCGCTCGGCAAAGTGGTTACCCACCCCTACATCGCAATAAAGCCTGCACTAGTTATTTCAGTAAATTTTGATGTTAATGGAAATTGCTCTGGTAACAACTCCTTAAAGCCATGATATCTATCTTTCCTTTAGGGATTTAATATAAAATTAATGGAAATAAGCATCCAGCTATAACATAGTGACTTTGGAAAATAAAGTCCTTGCATAATAATTGAGAAATAAACAAACACATCCCACAAAACTAAAACTACAAAATTAACGAAATGAAAACGCAATTATCAAATTACAGACCGGATAAATCAACGAACAACCCCCACCATCATCCACCAACCTGAACTACAGGCACAGATCACCAAACAGTGGTTGGGTCACCACAACCAGTTACATAAATATTAGGGTTCAAGCCTGAGAGATCCAACATAGACAAGAACCCTAATTCGAACAAAAGAACTAAGGGACAAGAACCCTAAATACCTGATTTCAGAGGCCGAATAAGAGATGACAGGATCTCCTCGGAGCCGGCGAGGTCGCCAAGGGACGAGGTCGGATGTCGTGGAGCCGACGAGGTGGCCACGGAACGAGGTCGGAGGTCAAAGGTCGTGCGGAGCCTGCGAGGTCATGCTGAGGTCGAGCCGACGAGATCGACGATGAGGAATTTTTTTTTTTTTGTTCAATTTTTCTGCTGAAAGTGAAAGTGAAAGTGAATTTTGGGGAAAGAGAAGTGAATGTGAATTATGGAATTAAAAAGGAAAATAAAAATTGAGTGAAGGGGTAAAGTTGTATTTTTACAAGCCAAAATGGCTATATTTCATTCTTTTAAAAAATATGGTTATATTTTATTTTCTATTTGGTTTAAGTGCTAAACATGGACATTATCACATATAATGTTACCCGTGCATCGCACACGATAATTCGAAAATAGAGATGGTAGATCCACGTTTTCCCGCCAGGCACATACAGATTGAAATACAATCCATCCCCCAAAATATAATAAAATCTTGTGCAATAAATATAATATAATATAATAGCTCCTCCCGTTTTGAAGCTTAAAAATTTGGTAATGAAGATCAATATCCAGGGAAGAGGGAAGAATACAACAGTGTCACACGGATTTCTTTAGTTTTTCTCATCTCCTCTCCCCCAATTTCACCTCAAAGCCATGCCGCCGACTGATGGTACCAAATTCCCTGCGAACGACTGTTCGCCACTTTCTCTCTCTAAAACCGCCACTACCACTTGCGCCTCTCTCCTCCGTGAACTCCAGGTAATCTTGCACAATAATTTAATGGCTTTCTCTGTAGAACAAGTAGATTAGGTTTTTGGTCGGACTGATTTCTGAAGCAGGCCGTTGTGAATTCCTATTTGGATATTGCAGTGTGTGTTTGTGTTTTCGCTGGATTAATAATGATTATCACTCAAGTCGCAGTGACGCTCGCTGCTGCCCGTTTTCCTGTTCTTGATGGTAGAATTATAAATTATTGTGATGTAGACGCTCACTGTTCAAAAGTGCATCCATTTGTATTTCTTGATTTCTGATGCAGATGTATCTTTCTCATTCCATATATTTGATTATAAGGTTTTGGTGTTGCATCATGGTAGAGAATGCAATAGGCGAATGTAAACACATTTCTCCGTATGATTTTTGGTGTTGAGAAGAGTTTATATCAAAACACGTAGTTGTTACATGCCTCTGTAGATTTTGAATTTTTTTATTTTTATTTTTCCCTTGGAGAGTAAGAGTTTTAATCAACTGAATTTGTGAAACAGAAAATATGGGATGAAATTGGAGAAAGCGACACTGAGAGGGATAAGATGCTTCTTGATTTGGAGCAGGAATGCCTTGATATATATCGTATGAAGGTGGAAAAGAGTAGAAAGAACAAAGCTGAGTTACTTAAGTGTTTGGCCGAATCTGAAGCTGAAATTGCTCAAATTGCCTCTGCCCTTGGAGAAACGGTTTCTGTACCTCAGGTTTGCTTTGTGTTGCTTCCCATTTTTGTTATTGAGTTTAACTAAAGTCATTATATTTTTTGCTATTGCTACTCTACCAATACAGTGGCTTCTTTTTTTCCAGTTTTTAGCTCCCAGTTCTTTCTCTATTTCTATTTATTTAATCTCTCTTTCTCTTGTATCAGTACAAAAAGAATAAATGCAACCTTAAGCAGCAAATTTCTGTTATATGCCCCATTCTGGACAGTTTGAGGCTAAAGAAACAAGAGCGAACTAAAGCGATTTCCGAAATAGAATACCTCATTGCAGGGATATCTGCAGAAATAGCAGGCAATGATCCAAATATGAGTTCTAACAGAGTTCAAGTGGATGAACAAGACTTGACCACCAAGAAGTTGAGTGATCTGAAATCTTACCTTAAGGAGCTTCAGTTTGAAAAGGTTTGTTTATAAGCTCATAAAGCTGTTATAATTTCCAGAGTTCAACTAAGATTTATGGAATCTTCGATTTTTGGTCTTTGTTGCCTTTTATTGTTCTACTTTTTTTTTTTTGGGTGTTTTGCCTTTTGTTTTCACTTTGTCTTTTCCTGGCAGAATCTGCGCCTGCAGAAAGTTAATAGTCACATCAGTACAATCCATGAACTTTCAGTAGTCCTGTCTCTAGATTTTAAGAAAATAATGGCTGAAGTTCATCCAAGTCTAGTTGATGCTGTTGCTGGTCAAGCTAAGAGCATCAGCAACGAAACACTTGCTAGATTAACTAGTGAGATTAACTTACTGAACCAAGAGAAACAACAGCGGCTACTGAAGGTAAGTGTCAATAATCTATTTTTCATCTATTTTTGCTTGAGAAGAAGACATTATATTATGTTGTATCATCACTAACCTAACCATTATTTTACCCGTGTTTCTTATATCTAAAGTTGAAAATTAAAATTTTGTATATGAAGTTAGTTTTTGTTCATAACTAGTCTTAGTTTTGGTCTATTTATTTCCTACAGATGTATTAATCCTATACAACTGTACACATTTATCTGCTTCCAATGTGATTTCAGTAGTGTCATTTCTATCAAGGGCTTAGGAGGGTTTTGCAACTGTAAGTATAAAAGGTTGGTGGAGAAATTTATGCCTATTTTTGAAATGTAGTTTGCTTTGTGTTTCTGGACGGTAAAGGTTTTGGCAGCAATCTATTTTGGTGAGGTTTTCCAGAATCACAGTCGGATTATTCATATATCATGCTGTTTAATGGATACTTTATGTCATCAGTCCAATTATTGATTTAATAATATAATTTTCTGTTTAGAAACTTTTTTCACACTTTTAAAGATGCAATTACTAGTCAATTGGTTAGAATTGATTTCAATAGCAAGTGTCTCTATGTTGACCAGATCGTTGGGCTGAACTGTGCCCTTGCAACACCTGAACCTCAATGTTCTGTGCTCTGTTTAGATGACTAGAGTTTGCTTGTCATATAATTGGTTCCAAAATTAGTAATCCATATTCCATTGCACAGAAGCTGAAACATTGGGTGGTTGGGCACAATAATTATGCCTGTGACCATCATAGACATATGTCCTGCGAGTTATATTTTTCTGTCTTATTAGTGTCTCTATGCAGGTAAAAGCTCTTGGAAGAAGTCTTGTAGAGCTCTGGAACCTTATGGAGATGTGTACTGAAGAGAAATCAAAATTTGATCACATCACTTCCTTAATCAGTTACACTGTTGACAAGGTTTTGAGTCCTGGATGTCTATCTGTTGATGTCATAGATCAGGTCCGTGCTTATCAGTTTTGGTAGTCTGTATGTTTAATGTTGATGAATAAAGGCCATCTAGCAATTATGTCTGCTTAACTTTTCACCCATTGCAGGGCGAAGCTGAAGTTGAGCGTCTAAATGTTCTGAAAGCCAGTAAGATGAAGGATCTTATATTTAGGAGGCAATCTGAGCTTGAAGAAATATGCGAAGCTGTACATATGGATGCTGATGGTGATAAAGCACGGAAGATTCTCACTTCTCTTATGGATTCTGGTGATGTTCGCTGTCTTTTTGATTGAAAGATTGATTATTGCATCTTCACCATACTTTCCCAATATCCACTCTTTAACTATGCGTAAAAAGTTTACTTGTTAATGGATGTGTGTGTGTGTTTCAACCCGCGTACTGTTGTGGCATCCCCCTTCTGCGAGAATGATTTAATATATTATTTGCACATTCAGTTACTTCCTGTTGATATGAATGATAACTGCATCATTATCATACTTTTCCAGTATCCTGATTCTCTAATCTCTATTACTTTGAATGTGTTTGGTGCTGCAAGCTGTTTCAGTCTAAGAGTCTCTTCATTCTTTTTAATATCTGGTCACAGAATGTTGGTGTATTGTTTGTCCATATCCATTGTCTGGGCATGTCAACTATCGACTTTCAAAATATATATCTTCGGTCAAATCATTTTCTTGGTAACTTAATTATGGTAGTAATTCACTGAAGCTTTATGAGGTAACCTTGAACTCTTACTCAATGACTGAGATGCATGGTGAAGAAGACTGTGTACAAAACTATTTTCTTGAAATTTGCTTATTAATGCAAGAACATGGAATATAACTTTCTTACGTCCTGGAAAGTACAAGTTTCATCAGGGTCCTTGGTGTCTTTGCTTAATTGAGCTTTTGAGGAATTAGCATGTGCATGTACCATTATTGGTGCTTTACCTCTTAAAATTATAATTAGCCCCTTGACATTCTTATACATTATAAATTTCTCTGTCAGTATGGGAATATATGTTGAGTTAGTACAGACCTCAAACGAGTATTTGTAAAATCTCAGAGAAATTCTAATTTTGAAGGATAACTTCGATATTTTTCATAATGCTAATCTTTTTTCAAACATAAAAATTAATAAGGTGCACACTCGTGTTTATTTTCTTTTTGAGAAATGCTTTTGTAATAATGATTTACATGAATGTACCACTGCAGGTAGTATGGATCTTTCTGAGCTTTTATCTAGCATGGACGCTCAAATAGTAAAAGCCAAAGAACAGGCCCGAAGCAGAAAGGACATTTTGGATAAGGTGGAGAAATGGAGACAAGCATCTGAGGAGGAAAACTGGCTCGCTGAGTATGAAAGAGTAAGATTTCCGTCTGTTTTCTTCATTTTATATCCGATACTACTATGCTATTTGGTCCTTAGGTTGTGCTTGCTTCAATGAACTAGTTCTGCTTATCAGCTATGTTTGATAAATGTAACTCTGTCACATTATTGCTGGAATATTTATTTCCGTCCTGTCGAGTGGTTCTAAAATTTTGATTTAGAAGGCCAGTTCGAAACCTGTAACTCATTAGGCCAACTGATAGTATGCCACTTTGATTATAAGTCACTCACATAATTTCTTAACATATCACATATGCCAGATGTGTCAGGAATGAAAATTTATTGCTTTTGACCAAAATTTACTGCATATCTATCACTTAGCAGAAGGGCTGAAGGTATCCATCTACTCCCCGACCCACAAGTTGGGTATCTGAATATATAAAAGTTCAATAGTAGCTGCATTTCGTTGTAGTTGAAACATAGACTACTCAAGGGAACATACTTTTATGAGGTTATAGCTGGAGTAGGTATCTAACCCAACTGTAAGGTTATGTTTGTAATATTTATTTTACTTTCTATCAGGATGAAAATCGATATAGTGCGGGAAGAGGAGTGCACAAGAATTTGAAGCGTGCAGAAAAAGCAAGAATCTTAGTTGGCAAATTACCATGTGAGCCTTTTAAATCAGCATTTGTTAACATCGTTTTCTTTTTCCAGCATTTAGAAAATACACCTTAAAAAGTGAAAGCCTTGGGATGTCTGGGTACATCTGTTTCATGACAACCTTAGCCTTCACTGGTATTATAAGTTGAGTTGGGAAAAGATTGTTGTTGCTGGACTTGTTTAAGACTCCTTGGGATGTATATATGCAGTGATTAAAAAGGCGACGCCATGGCTTAAGGCGCCGTCATGCGAGCGCCTTATGTGTGGCGACCGAGGCGAGGCTTGCGCCATGGCGAGCAGCCCTAATTTGAACAAATTAGGATTTACAGGTTTTAAGTTACCATTTTCTACTTGCACATATTGGGTCCAACAAAACCCTAAATTAACTGGTGCCTTTTCCTCCCCCGACTGAGACGACTGAATTCTGGCTATGGACAGAGACGTGTCTTTCCCTTTGTTTTTTTGACTTTTCCCCTTTATTTCTATAAAGCCTTTCCCCTTCATTTTACTATTGTAAGGCTGCTTCACTTATATTCATTGATGGTTGCTGCCGGAGATGTTTCCATTAGCGCTTCCAACGGCCCTTTCATTTCC